CAAATGGTTTTAAAAATATATATCTATAAGATAATACAAATGGTACAAAATGCCAACAACTGATGAAGGGTAGACGAATTTCCATCATACATTATTTCAACTTTTCTGTGTCATTGAAACTTTTCACCCAAAAAATAAATATAGAAAAGCTGGGGTAGGAAGTGGAGAGAGTGTAAAGCTAAACAAGAGAGAGAGAGATTGAGAGAATCAAAATATTTCTCTCCAGTACACCTCTTAATAGAGATTACTGAAAGATGTTTTAGCAAGAAACGAGAACAAGGAAAACGTGGAATCTGGTAAAAGGAAATTCAGTACAGAGAGTGGTTGGTGAAAGGGGTCTTGGGAAATCCTCTCTGCCTTCAGGCCTAGAAATCCATCATTCTAGACCAGAGTGCAATGATATGGTTCTTGGAAAGGTAGTTCCATGTAACACAAAAGGAAGTGGCGGATTATCTGACATTTTTGAGTATTTGTAAATATTATTTCTACTTTAATATGACTTGGGAAAATTGAGGACAAATAATTCTAAATAGGTAGAAAACAAAAACAAATAATAAAATGAATTAGCTATTAAGAGAAATAAAAAGGTGTGTGAGGATAAAAATAGGGTTGTATTAGTTGATTTGGATCATTAGTAAATAATAATTATGTATTATAATGTAGACGTTGACTAACAAAAAAATGATGAAACTATATTAGAAAGCTAGGTATAGAGAGAAAAATACATCTATTATAGATGAATCTATAATAGAACTAAATCTTAACAACCTGAATGGCCAGTCAATACAAAATGACTAAAATTCATAAATTCAGCAACTTAACTTAATTATATTACTTAATAAAACAAAAAATAAATACTAAAATAATAGATGCAAAGACAGAGAACTAGAGGTTTCAGAAGAACAAGACAAGGAGTTGCTAGTCTTTAGACATAAACCCTTTACTACTATTTTTAAATAATTTGCATGTGATCCTTTTATAAATAGTAAAATTAACTTTAGAATATTTTAAAAATTTTTAATTCAATAAGAATTAGAGTGTTCAAAGATCAAATGGATAAACTATCCCATATTACAGCATAAAAATATGAATTGCATGTGATCCTTTTATAAATAGTAAAATTAACTTTAGAATATTTAAAAATTTTTTAATTCAATAGGAATTAGAGTGTTCAAAGATCAAATGGATAAACTATCCCATATTACAGCATAAAAATATGAAATGGAAATTGTAAATGAAAAAATAGAAGAAATGAAAGTCAGACTCAGAAAACCTCATATGTAAAATAAAAGCCTTATATAAAGGGTAAGTGAGAAGAAAAGAAAAAATAAATAAAAATTTTAAAACTTTCTTAAATTGATTAAAAAATTAGTGTTCAGGTTAAACCGTCTCAAAAGTCTTACTCAAGATTAGTGTGGAAACTTTCACATATAGATGTTTTCTGTTTAAATTGCTGAACCAGATAAAAAGAGAAATGTATAAACCTCCAGACTGAAACAAAGTTATGAATTGGGAGGATGGAGTGGAAGGGCTGCATTCCTGGCAAAGAGAGGCACCAGCAAAGATCCAGAGGCAGAAAAGCTAAAGATTCTTCCAGAAGTACTGTGTAATTCAGATGGATGGCTAGGATTTAAAGTCAATGATCACAAAGAGAAATTCAACTAAACCACTCACAGAGTGATTGATAACTGGAGTGTATAATTGCTACCTTGCTTGCACATTCTTCCATGACAAATCTACATCAGCTTTGTTACATAATTTAGTCAGGCAATCAAATTCACCACACAACATCATTTTATTTATGAGACTTAAAAACAGTATTATGTGCAACAAAATAAAAAGTCTTTATTTCCTTCACTCCTTCCCTCCCTTTCTTCCTCCCTTCTCTCCTTTCTTTCTTTTATTTATTTTTTGTAGTAACAACTTCATCTTTTTACTGAAGGTTGACCACAATTTAAGGACCCCATACTTTATCATTTCTATCTTAATTATGATTACTATTATTAAAAGAAAAAACTCCCAGTAGGGTTGTAACAAAAGAAAAAAATATTTTGAATGTTTAAAATTGTCTTTATTTAGTATCAGTCAAAATTATAAATAAACCCTAGAGTAGGTATTGCTACTTCAATGATATTCTGAGTTTAATAAGCATTATTCCCTGATCCATGAAATCTTATTCAAGGTTATATGGGAATTACTAAAATACGATGTATGGTCACTAACCAAACATAAAAACTAAACAGGGGTCACATTGTGTAAAATCTTATTAACGAAAAAGAGATCAAAGTTAATCAAATTGATCACTAATAGGTCTTTCTACCATTTTCTGTTTCAGGGGTATGATGATGGCTACGGGGGTGAATATGATGACCAGACCTATGAGGCTTATGATAACACCTATGCGACCCAGACTCAAAGGTAAGCCATTTGCCATTCTAAAGCACACGTCTCAGGATTGTCTCTAATCCTGCTATTTTGTTCCTGGAATCTAAATATCAGTTATATGAGAATGTCTAGCACTAGTTTTTCTTCATTACCTTTCTGAATTATTAAATTAGTTACTAGACTGTGAGAAGTAAAATATAATCTTGCTGTTGCAAACATTAAATAGTACTGTGTTATTTTGAGACCGGGTGATTGTTATAACCAATCAACTCATTAAACAAGCTTATATTTACCTAAATACTGTTATTTTTAGAATTATTTTAGCGAACTTGAAATTATAAGGCACTTGTTCAATGTGGCTTTTTTCCTTAAAATGTAATTTTCATTTGTAAAACAGAAGATGAGGAAAAGTTATTGGTACTTTGTAAAGAGGAAAAATTTTAAAACAACTTATAGAATCAAAAATTCCATAATTTTTAAGGATCTCTTAATGATTGTTGAATATATCTCTTCAGATTGACTCCAAATTTGTTATATCAATGATTTTTTACTTTTTTAAAGCTAGATTTATTGAGGTGTTATTTACATATAATAAATTGTACCCATTTAGGGTTCAATTGTATGAGTTTGGCAAATGCAAACAACTATGTAACCACCACAAAAATTAAGATCTAGAGCACTTTCAGCACCCCAAAATGTTTCTTCATAGTCCCTTGTAATTAACTTCTCCCACATCCCCAAGCCCTGGAAACTGTAATCTATTTTTTGTCACTACAGTTTTGCATTTTCTACAATATCATATAAGTAGAAGTCTTTGGAATCTGGCTTATTTACTTAGCATAATGCAGTCAATATTTATTCATGACATATCAGTATTTTGTTACTTTTTATTACTGTGCAGTGTTTCAGTGCATGGACATATCAGTTTGTTTCTTCACCACTGGAAAGACGTTTGGGTTGCTTCTATTTTGGGGCAATTATGAGTAAAACTGGTATACTACAAATGCATTTTTAGAAAAATTAATCACCTGAGTACTTTTTTATTGTTGTTGTTATGAATATTCATGAGATACCCAATTAGCCCCAACCACCCTCCCCCTTCCTCTCCCCCTTTCCCACCCACTCCACTTTGTAGCCCAAAGAATGTTCTTTCCCTCTGCAAGACCAACGCAACACTGTGGACTCTCTTTCCTTCTGTCTTTCTCTCTTAGCTCCCACATATGAACGAGTACATGAGGTGTTTATCCCTCTGTGCTTTGCTTATTTCACTCAACATAAGTTTCTCCAGGCTCATCCGTATTGTTGCAAATGGAAGAATTTCATTCTTTTTTATGGCTCAGTAGTATTCCACGGTGTACATATACCACAATTTCCTTATCCATTCATCCATCGATGGACATTTAGGTTGGTTCCATGTCTTGACTATTGTAAACAGAGCTGTGATGAACATGGGAGTGCAAGTATCCCTTTGACATGATGATTTCCGTTCCTCTGGGAATATACCCAGAAGAGAGATTGCTGGATCGTATGGAAGATCTATCTGTAGTCATTTGAGAAAACTCCATACTGTTTTCCATAGTGGTTGTACTGATTTACAGTCCCACCAACAGTGTAGGAACGTTCCCTTCTCTCCACACCCTCGCCAGCATTTGTTATTCACCATCTTTTTGATTATAGCCAGTCTAACTGGAGTGAGGTTTTAATTTGCATTTCCCTGACGACTACTGATGTTGAGCATTTTTTCATGTACCTTTTGGCCATTTGTATGTCTTCCTTTGAAAAATGTCTATTCAGCTCCTTTGCCCATTTTTTAATTGGGTTATTTGTTTTTTTACTGTATGATTGCTTGAGTTCCTTGTATATTATGGATATTAATCTCTTGTCAGATTCATAGTTAGCAAAAATTTTCTCCCACTCTGTAGGTTGTTGTTTCACTCTCTTGACTGTTTGCTGTGCAGAAACTTTTCAGTTTGATATAGTCCCATTTGTTTATATTTTCTTTTGCTGCTTGTTCTTTTGGACTCATATTCATAAAGTATTTTTCTGGAAAACATTACAAATTTCAAAGGAAAATACAAGGGATCCATATGACAGTTAAATTATTCTCTCCTCTATGTGATTGACAAGTGCCAATAGAACTAATTGTGGCAAAATCATTACAGCATTGATCATTTATTGACCAACTGTATTGGCACCCAAGGAGACTAATGTCTCCTTTAGGACTTATTAATATTGAGAGATGGAGATGTCAAAGAAAGAAACAACTTTAAAGTCATTATAAAGTGGAAGAAATCTATATGTACTGCAGAAGTTTGAATTTTCCATGGCCTGATGGATAGCAGATTGAAAGGGGTGAAGGGAAATTCTATTTAGAGAGAATACAGTGGACAATTAAGAAAAGGATAGATATGAACTTATACCTTTAAAACTAAGTATGACTTAAAATATCACTATGAAATAACCATATTCAACATTGAGTAATTGGTTAATTTGTGTAGGTCAAATAGATCATGAGCCAAGAGTAGTATCTTTATTGTCCCTATTGCATATTGGAACACAGCAGTTATTTGGGATGTGGACTAGTTTTGCATCACATCACAGACAACAGACAGAGTATTGCATACAAACTGGCTACATATTCAGAACATCTGGTAATATTTTCAATCAAGTTGTTAGTTCACGATTACACAGTAATGCATAAAAATAGTGATAATAAAGTTCTATAACTTGTTTCAAAAACTCTTTGGTAGAACTATAATTACTGTACACTACAAATACACCTAGAATAGGCTAAAATAATTTCTTGATGTAGCTACGTAGAACTACATTTAGATCATAGAGATTTTGGAATAATTTTCTGAAAATGAGGGACTCTCTGTGTCTTTCTTTTGGCGATATTTAAAAGGGTTTAACTGACCCTAAGAGACAAGGAAAAATAAAAATATAGATTTAGGATAATTTATCCTTAAATAGTTGAAAAGTGAATACTAGGATTACTGAACACACATATGTATAAAAAGTGATGGCAATATAGAATAATTTTGGGAAAAAAATTTTACTTTGTTCTATAAAATATATTTTACGTGTAAAAACACATTGTCTATGCACTTCTGCTGCCTTCTCTTTCCTTTCCTACTCACTTAATTTTCTATGGATAAATTCTTCCCATTGTTTTAGGCCCAGCTCCAAAGCTAACTCTTCCAAAAGGTCTTTTCTTTATTTGGGAATAATCTGTTTCTATCCTGAATTGCAATAGCACCACAGCTTTATTTTTTTTTTAACTTTTCTATGACACTTTCTTTCTCTGCCTTATGTTGGGATTATTTCTGTACATGTCCGTTATCATACTTACTACTTGCCCAGATTCCTTTTCTGATATACCCTCATGTTCCTTACCACACCAGAGATTGGGTCTTTCGAGTGGTACGTGCTGAAAAGATGATCACTGCATATGTGAGTTTCAGGCCCAATATGCTCTACACTATGGGGATACAAAATATTTCTCAAAAAATATATAAAACTTAGAATTATGTGTATCCTATTTACTGACAAAATATGTGTTTCTCGGATAATTTAGTGCTAAAACCAAAAAGGATAAAGAAAACAGGTCATGGAATTTGTTGCAGTGATACTAATGTTCTATATTACAATAATTATAAAACGTCTATTTTAGTCAAAATCATATCCTCAATACTAGTGTATTGTCCCTCAGATTAGAGGTTCTCAGTAAATATTTGTTAAATACTTGTAAAGGGATGAAAAAATTTTAATATGCATTAATAAATGAACTATTACTTCAGAAAATTCTGAGGAAGAATTCTTAAAATATAAAACCAATTTATAATAGATATGGATAAACACTAGAACGATTATTAGATAATGTATTATCTCTTTTCCTTTAGATTATTTCTATTGGCCCTACTGTACCAGCAGAAGGTAAAAGTAACAGTTCAGTTAAATAAGCACTTATTTAAGTGATTGTGTGTGCCAGATAGTATACTAACCATAGTGACAATACTTATTTTTTAAATTTTTTACTATATTTTAATATTTGCTTTTAACAGTTTGTTTGAGGAATCACTCACAAGCTGTATAAATATATGATAATAAATGTAAGTCAGACAGTTAAAGGGTAATCAAGTATTAGGAATTAGGAGTGAAAGAAAATTCACTTTCTATAATAATCAGTCAAGAATAGTCTTTTTTTCAAGTGATAGCTCTTTAGTTGGATTTTGAAATGTAAGATTTGGATTGCTGAAGAGAAATGTTTTCTAAAGAAGTAAAATAAAGGGAAATGTATGAGCACTATTTACAGACAGTATGAATATTATTTTGGCATTGTTGCAGTCAAAATCAGAAGAAATACTCCCATTTGCAACAACATGGATGAACCTGGAGAAACTTATGTTGAGTGAAACAAGCAAAGCACAGAGGGATAAATACTGCATGGGCTCACTCATATATGGAAGCTAAGTGAGAAAAGAAGGAAGGAAAGAAAGACCACAGTAGTGCGGTGATCTAACAGAGGGAGGGAACATTCCTAGGGCTGCAAAGCGGAGGAGGGGAGGGGAGGGTGTTTGGGTGATAATTGGGTGGGGAAACAGGGTACAAAAGCAATTTCTGGTAATTTGTATCTATGAATATTCGTAATAAAAATATAAATAAATGGGAAAAAAAGAAACCCTGGTTTAGAATCTTGGAGATAAAACAATACAATATGTGTGACTTAGCAGAACTGAGATAAAAGACAAAAATCAGTAGAGAAAATGGGCTTTAATTGACTAGTTAGCACAGAAGAATACAGAATTTGTGGAAATTATAAAGTAGAATCTGGCAGGTGCCTAAATGGAATAATTATATCGTTCTCAATAGAGATCCCAGGGGAAGTTCACAAGGTAACAATCCCTCGAAGGTTCACCTGAAGTTCAGAAGCTTTAACAACTTTAATTAATCCCCAGTTATCTTGTAAGGTATCGTTCATTCTGGAATATTTCGAATGGATCAGAAAAGGTACTACACTAAAGATTCCTCAG